GGAACCAAGGAGGAATCCTGGTAAGTGGAAACAGAGCTCTGATCTATATCACCAAGAACCTCCTCAAACAGTTTTTCCAGGGAAAGCCAATGACATTAAGAAATAAAATGGTTATTATATCATAAAAAAAGTGCAAGAATTACAGAATAATACAGCAAAATAATGGGAGAAAATGGACAAGAGAAATGAATAGCAGATATAGGACAAAAATAAATGCTTCTGTGGAGCCACTGAAAACTGTAAACACACAGCTATGTGTGTTTTGACTAAAACTAATCCGTGTAATGAGATCATCTCTGCAAAAGAAGAGTTCAAAGCAGAAATACGAGAGCTTGGGGAAGACATGTTGAGACAACAAAACATGACAAACTATAAGCTGGCAAAAATCAGGAAAGAAGTCAAACAATAGTAGCAAAAAAAGGCAACAAGGAGCCTGAACACTGCTACCCATCCAAGTGTAATGTGGATAAGACTGATTTTTATCCATCTCATTTTGCTCAGAGAATTAAAACAGAGTGGAAGGGGGAAAGATGATGGCTCTCCTTTGTCTGTCCTGTCTTTTGTACACATCTTCCTAAGTGTCCATAAGGGAGAGAATCAAAACAGTGAAACTGAAATAAAGTACATATTCCAAAATATAAATCACTGAAATTGGGGGGAAATTAAAAAGTAAGGAAGATATGGAAGCAACTCGAGTGCCCATCAATACACAAGGGAATAAAAAAAAGCTGTGGTACATAAATGCAATGGAATACCACTTGGTGATAAAAAAAGAACAAAATCTTACCATTTGCAACAGCAACAATGGACCTAGAGGGTATTACACTAAGTGAAATAAGTCAGCCATAGAAAGGCAAGTACCATACGACTTCACTTATATGTAGAATCTAAAGAGCAAAACAAATGAGAAAACAAAACAGAAGCAGACTCATAGGTGCAGAGAGCAGTATGATGGTTGCCAGACGGGCTGGAGGATGTGAGCTGGGTGCAAAAGATGAAGGGATTAAGTACTAATTGGTAGTTACAAATACAGAACATAGTGAATAATATTGTAATAACTATGCATTGTACCAGGTGGGTACTGGAAATATGAGGGGAAGATCATTTCATAAAGAATATGTTTGTCTAACCCCTGTGCTGTACACCTGAAACTAATATAGTGGTGAATGTAAACTGTAATTGACAAATAAAATGAAAAGAACATGAAGAGTAATTGAACCAATTGAATGAGACATATTCCAGGGGGAAGAACTGATGTAGTATGATCAACATGAAACATGTACTAATAAAGTATATAAAATAACAGATGGTCACCATTGAACACACTTACCTATAAAACCAAAATAAAAATAAATATAGAAATAATGATTCAGAGCAAAATGTAAATGCTCTAAACAATTTAATTTAAAAACTGGTGTTGGATAGAAGGGAGAGAGGGGGGAGTCATAAACACATGGTATTTTCTCCTACCTCTGTCCAGAGCCTCATAAAATATTTAAGTCTAAGAGAGTTATATTTTAAGGTATAAAAGAGAATACTAGAAGATAACAATCCAGCAAAATTTAGTGGTGGAAGAACTGAAGCAAGAAGGGAGGAAACAGAAATTCACGGAAATACACTAACTTTATAATTGCTCACAAGAGGAAATCAATAGATAGTATCTGAAAAGAAGATTTACCATGTTATATAAAGTTATATTCATAAAGCTAAGTAGATAGAACAAATATTTAGATTATCAAAGAATCCTATATGTGGGAAAGAAGGAAAACAGTCCACATGGTGAGTTTTTTAAGCAATTATAACTAAAAACTAAGTATACACAGTCAGAATTAAGACATATCTCTCCTATCAATCAATACAAATGGCTAAACTCACCTAAAAGAAGGAAAGGCCTCTTTCATCAAATTCTGATGACCAACCAACTTACATTTACATTGGCAGCTTGTATAGTTGTTTATCTGCCACTTACTGACATGATTTGTTTCGATCTCATCCAATTGATAGTTTCAAATAATAGCATTCAATCGGTATTTATTTGATGGTTAATAAAATTCAATGTTTTCTCAAGAGTATTGGCCTTTTGCATTACTTGATGACACATTGCTATTTCATTGTTTCTCAGCTCTTTCATAATGAAATAAAAAATTCCTTAAAACAGAGTTTGAGGCTTGTGGGATCCGCTACCCTATGCCTTTCAGTTATTATCTCTAAACTCTCCTTCTAGATCTCATTTCCTACTTCCTTCTCATCTCTTCAAACTCCAGATACGAGAGTGTCCTGCAGCCCAGTCTTTGGATTGTCTCTGTTCTCTCTACTTGCTCCCTTGGTGACTTCAATTTTGTGGTTCAAAAATGTCAGCAATATGCTGACACCCTTCCAGTTTTAATCCATAGCCCTGACCTCCCACCACTCCTGCTTCTAAATCCAGTCTCAAATTTCTACCTACACTAACCCCATATCTCCACAAGGGGCTCAGAGGGGCTCAGGGCCCCTCTGAGTGGTGACTGCTACCACCCTACCCCTTGTTTACCAGCTAATGAGGCCTTCCCAGGTCATCCCAAATATAGCAATTTTGGTATTGCTATACCAAAAAACACCCAACATTCAGTCCCTTGTTTATTTTTACCCATATCATTGTCACTGACTGATATATTTTATAGTTAGGTATATAGATGACCGTACAGGATAGACAGACAGAGAGAGAACACACATATAACATTGTTTTGGTGCTTTACAGATACAATTAACAATTGCAATCCTCCCAGTGATCCATGAAGTGGAAACTGCAATTATCCCCTTTTTATAGAGGAGTCAGATGAGGCACAGTTCAAGGTTATGCAGCTAAGTGTGGTAAGCCAAGTTCAACATAAATGCTGGTCATCAATCTCCAAACTACACTATACCTCGTAGCCTTTCAGAGAGAGACAGACAGACAGACAGACAGACTGACAGAATCGTATACATACTTTTTCCTGTCTTCCACTAGAATCTATATGCCACTAAAACGTGATCTTTATTGTGTTTATTATTTTAACCCCAGCACCTAGAACAAGGGGTCTGGAACATAGTAGGCAATCAATAAAACTATACTGTATAATAAGAATTTATACCTTTTTCAAAGAAAATAAAATATACTGCTAATTAAAGAAAAACCTTCTATTGGTTTCCAGTATAATGAAAAACAATGTTTCAAAAAAAAATCTGGATATCTGCCTGCACAGTTATAGAAAACTTTATGCAATACAAAGAAAAATGAAACTGAAAAATCTGAACATTTTAAATGCTAAGTAATGTTTCCCAGAAATAATTCTGCCATGTTCATCACAATATGCAGTAGCGGCAGTAAGAAAAGTACAATCGGATTAGTAAATTTATAAATCATCCCAGTATTTCTACCTTAAAAAAATAGACATAGAGCAATAAGAAAGCCTTAAACCAGGGCCCCAGTAATGGGAATGGAAAAAAGGAAGCACTTAAGAAATAACTAGTGGTGATATTAGCAAAGGCTGTGAACTCATTTAATTGGATGACATTCAGTGACTTTCAGGTTTCTACTTTCAGTAACCTGGTCAAACATAGTGCCACCAATGTGTCAGGTTCAAGGGGGTCATGATGAATCTATTTTACCCGTGGTTGAGGTGACTATTAGATAACAGATCTGCAGTGCATGGTAGAGGTCACAGCTCGGTGACTTCAGAGTCATAAGAACATAGAGATGGTACTCAAAACCATGAGAACGTCCGGGCAACGAGTACTGGATGCGAAGACAGACTGGCCACGAGAAGAAAGCTTGGGAACTCCACAAGTAGTGCCTCGTACTGTCTACCCAGCATTTTATGCATTGTATATGTTCAAAAAATACTTTTGAATAAAGGAATGATAGTGCCAAGGACCTACCAATATTTAGGAAAAAATTGCCCAAGAGTCTGCCCTTTAATCAAGCTAAGAAACAGTGACATGTAGGCTACCAAGACCTCTCTTTTCCTACCTCTTTCAAGCTGCTTTTTGAGTGGCTGGCTATTTTTCCTGTACTTTACTAGGTCCTCAAAAATCCATGCAACTAATTTGCAAAAAGAAGTAACTGCTACATCCATAATCCATCAATCCAACAGGTAGCCACTGAGCACCCCTGATTTGCAAAGATACCTTGTGAAGATAGGGACAGGATGAGGAGTAAATTGTGTGTATAAAATATAGTCTCTAAACTCAGAGAGTATAAAGTGCAATTTGGAAAGAAGGAGACAAATAAATCTATTAAGAGCTAAGTAACAACTCCTAATTCAGGGAGATTCCAAAGTTCAAGTTTCCCAAAGGAAACAATTTGTGCCAAGTATTTGCCGAACACACACTCCCACACATAGTTGCTCACTCAATAGACTGTCATCTTTTGTTTTTCCTCATTTTTTATCTATTTTCATCTCCTTCCAGTAAAACTCCAAACCTAAAACCAGGTTTCCTTTTTCCATCTAAACATGCGAGTCCCATTTTTAGGTAAGCTATCTGAGAGACAGAGTTCTTGGAGTGATGGACTTGGGACTTAGACATTTGAAGGGGTAGTCGGCACTGAAAAGGGAAGGAAAGATTTAGCGTGCTCTGGATCTTTCCAGAATAAAAATACTAGCAATGCTCAATTTCTGGGAGATTCTCATTAGCAAATTTAGACAAGACACTTTGATAAATTAAAGTTCACTCTCATTAGAGATTTGACTGTAAGGAACCTCAATCCTCAGCTCAAACCCCAGTCATTTAAAGACCCTTTCAGTGTAATCAAAAACCAATTCAAGTAAGGGATTCAGTGGGGGCACTAAGGCCCCCTATAAACAATACGACCCACAGTGCCTTTGTCTTGCACCAGAAGTCTGAGCTCTCCCCAAGGGGCCAGGTTACCAAAGTCAGAAGAGGAACAGCCGCCTCGGGAAGGCCATCCTCATGTTCCTAGTAAGCAGCCGACTCCACCTACATTTCCTCCTTCTACCAGTGAAAGCATATCCTGTACTCACCTGAATGAAGATGTACTCGTCCTGGACGACCAGGGAACTGATGTCAATGGAGCGAGCAAAAGGCCCGCTCCGAGTGGTCTCGGCACATTCCTGGATCCTGCAGGTGAGGTAGTGGGCGTCTGCAATGAGAGGGCAGAGCGACACTTAGGCACAAGGGGAAATGGTGAGCAAAGCTCTCATCAGCCCTCAAAGCTCTATCTCATGGGAAATCGGTGATGGCATTAAAAATAACAGTGAGAGTTCATTTTCTTGCCCACAAAATGTGTGATGATATTTTTTTAAATGTCAAAATCTACTTAAGGCAAGGGTGGAGGGAAAGAGTTAATCCTACATTCCTCTGGCAAAACAGTAAACTGGTATGGCTTTCCTTGAAAATCAATGTGAAATACGAATCTATCAGAATTTTAAATGCATATCTTACAATTCTAATTCAAGGGATATTTTCCAGAAAAATATATATCTTCACAAAAAGGCAATGGCAGCTGTTCATCATGGCATTGTTCACAGCATGCAAAGACTGGAAACGTGCAAAATGGTTAAGGCTTAAGGGACCTTTAAATAAACCAAAGTCCACATGTAACAGAGTACCCTGGTGCATTGCCATGTTGATTTCTCCAAGATGCATTGCTGTTCTGCAAGCTTTTACAAAATTATTTAATACTATGTATTGTCTGAACTGATTGATGTCAAAAGCCCCTTACCTTTATGAATATATTGGCTTGTGCCATAACTGACTAGAAAGAAGAATGTGTATAAAAATGAGCTATGATTACTTTGGGAAAGAGAAATGAACTAAAGAAGACAGAGTTCCAGTGGGGTCTTTGCTTTTTATATTAGGTACATCTTTATTATTTTTACAAAGAACATAATATTTTCTTATTACTCATGTAAAATTTCTAAAACTCATATAAGTACTTATAAAACCTCAGCCTCTGAACTTGTCTCAGTCACCACAAAAAACCATGGCAGCAGCTGTGGCTGAGTGGGAAGCCCTTGGCTCTCAAACCACCCTGCCCACAACTGCAGGGCCACCCCAGGGAGACAATCCGTGTGGCTCTTTGCTCCTTAATGAAAAACCACAGGTGAGTCTCTTTGAAGCAACTAGTGTGTTCATTTGCTTTAAAATAGTTATTGTTCATTTAATGGTGTTGAAAAATAATAAATGGTCAAAAGGAAAACTAGGCGTTGTTTCAGGATCCGACGCAGGGTGCCTTTGTTCATCATCTAAAGCCACCTGCATTACCACAGGTATCTAACACAATTGTCCCCTTGGATAATGTGCATAGGTGTGCAACCATTTCAGAGGCTACAGTGAACGGGGTAGTGGGTAGCAGAAATAAAGGTAAAATGTTAAAAAATTACATTCATAACAATTCATCTTTTTAAAAAAGCATACTTTCAATTATACCTAACTTGATCTTTACTTACTTATTTTACTGTTTGATTCACCAAGTATTTTTTGTGTGCGTGCAATGTATTGGATATTGTTTAGATACTGGAATGTAACAGTGAACGACACAAAAATTTTCTCGTCTAAAAGGGCCTGCTGTCTAGGAAGGGGCTTACTCACATTATTTGTAGCTACCTACTACACACATTTATCTATAAATGATACTAATTTAATAGTAAAACATATTTTGGTAGAAAATGAATTCATCATATGCTCTATCTCTGCTTTTCAAATGTCTAAATTTGAACAAAGCCTATTTGCTTTGGTATCCATAATCCAAACACAACAAATATTGATTTCATTCTCTCCATCAGCAGTTTTATCATCTGCCCAATAGCACAAGCCTCTTAACTTTTTTTCCTCTCACATGTCACGCAATCCAGCTGGTTCCTAGCCTTGACGATTCAGGACTGGAAGGGCTTCCGGAGCCCCTCTTCTCTACCACCCTGCCACTTGCATGGGATAAACCCTCCTCATCTGTTTTGCCTATAGCACCCACTTCACAGCTAGGGTTCGTGTGCATGATGGACTGGAACCAGGACTGACCTGGGGCAAAGAGTCCAAGTCATCTCTGAAACCCAAACCTGAATTACACCCTCCCAACTTCAATCCACCAACAGTTCTGAGTGCCCAGGGACAAAGCCCAAGCATGTTTCTATGCAATGGAAGGCCTTTTACAACTAGTCTAATAAAATCAAGTGCCGAAGGAGCCAGGCAAATAACATATAAGAGTAAAATAAGCTGGGGTCAGATAGTAAATGGCAGTGGCACATGACCTTGGTGTCAGGGACACTGAGGAGTAGTGGGGACAGCGGTAAAATGCCCAGCACTTGCCTCTTAAAGGCAGAGCTGCTTCTCGGCATCAGTTTATCATTGACAGGCAGAAAGAAGAAGTTCTGAGTTTCTAAATAAAGCTAACACTCCCCGTTATTTTAATGTAAAATTTCCTGATTAAAAAAAATGACAGTGAATTTAAAGCGAAGATAGGGCCCAGGCCAAACAAAACAAGCATATAGTCCAAACAAGCTCTGGAAGCCACCAGTAGCCAGCTCTATTCTGTAATTTGATTCCCTACCTACCTCCCCGGAGAGGAGACACCCTCTTCCCCATTCCCTGGCTCCTTAGCAAGACCAGCTTGTTGACCATTTTGTAAGTACAGCCTGCAAGTCTTTTCCTCTTTGTCTCTGTTCACCAAGGAAAGCAAGAGTGCCTGGCTCGCCACTTCTGGCTGAGTGGACAGGGGAAGGCAAGCAGCCTAGCTGTGCCTCAGAGCACACAGCCTGCCTGCTCACTGGGCATTTTCTTGGACCCACACGACATTAGTAATTTGCTCGTAGAATAAAGCACTAAAACCCCAGTGAAAAGCTGCAGTAAACACATGTAAAGAAACCACAAGTGTTGACACGACAACCTGCTTCTTTCTCACCAGCCAGTTCCTCAGAAAGCTCCTTTCACTGATATAGCCAAAGGTACACTCAGGTGGCCATCTGCTCACCCGCGCAACAGGCTCGTTTTCCCCTCTTTATGATTCACTCTGCCATTTGGACACTATGAAAAAAGAATCGACTGTATTCAAAGCCAACCCCAAACAAAATCACAAAATCGACACCTACCTAAACCTTGGCCACGGCAGGGAGGCTACTGTGCCAAACCCATTCCACTTCTTAGCTATCCCCCTGCTTGCCACCTCCCACTATGCAAGAAAAAAAAAAAAGTCCTATTTAACAGGAAAGCAGCCCTAAAATGAGTCCTCGAAATACACATAAAGTTCAGGGGCCTTGCAGTATTTAGCTGGACTCACGTACTAGAAGTCTCAATGCTTTTATTTTTCAAAACACAGATATGATAACAAGTGCTACAACACCCATACCTGGTGAGAAGCCAAAGCGGGGGCTTGGGGAGAGCAAATTATCGGGCACCTGGGGTCACCAGGTAGACGTGACTGGGGATGGCAAGGGGCTTTGGGTGTCAAAGGTGAGTAGAGAACACAATTTGCTCAAGCTTTAAATCTGCAAAAAATCCAAAATTTGGATTTTAGACATTATCTCCAAATGAGCCTGGATATAGTCATACATGATGAAAGAGAAAGAAGATATATTTATTATATATCTTGAAATCTCAAAATAAGCGTCAAGCAACTATGGCCTTTTCATTGTTTTGTTTTGTTTCGTGTTGTGTTATTTTGTTTAATATCAACAGATGCCTGATAAAATGGAAGAGGTCCAGATCTGCTGAGGATATCATGGTGTCTGAGAGCAAGACCTCTGAAGCTAGATACACTGAGCCCAAATCTTGGATTCGCTCCTCGCTGCCTACCTTGGCCAAGTAGCAGCATTGCTCTTCATCTGGGAGGTGTAGACAAATCAGTACTTGCCTCTGAGGATTGTCATCAGGATTAGGTAAGATTATATATGAAAAACACTCAGTACACTGTTGCATAAATTTTAGAAGATCAATAAATGTTAGCTCTTTTTTATTATTAAGAAAGAAGGATGGGGCTTTAAGACTCGGCATCTCTCATACATTCAATGAATAACAAGTGATGTTTTATTTTATTGTGGAAAATCAAAAGACCATGATTCTACTAGCATAGATTCTACTAGCAAAACCATACTCTAAATTTATATCACTGTTTACTTGCTTTAAGTGTGATGGCTGATCAGACCAAGAAAAAAAAATAGGGAGTCTGAGCTGGAACAATCAAGGAAAAACTTGAAGGAGAAGGCAGCCCTTGCTTGTGTTTAGCCTGGACGGAGAAGTGTGCTATGCAAAGGAAATTCCTAGAAAAGGAGGTGGAAACTGCACATGGAGGGGCGAGTAGGCAAAGCTCCTTGAAGGCACTGTGCAATTACATGTGGACTTTGATTGGTGCTTATTCTTGAACTTTCATTTCTCTCCTCTCCTTTAAAACATCCTCAAATGGAAAACTAGAAAGAACAGATTGGGTGAAGATCTCATTTGCATATCCCTGTGGGAGAACCAGGGAGTGACTTCCCAAATGTCTGAAAGTCACATCACCCTCATGATTAATGTATTTCTAAATGTCAAAAATGTCTTTCTGATGTATTTCTAAGATCTGGTGCGGACACTACTGAAAGCCAAAGGCTTTGCTCCCTGCACTGTGAATAGAGAGATCCGTTTGATAACTTCAGCAATGTTGGGCCCTGTTTCAGCTAGTTCTGCTGTTCACAGGACATTTAGGGAGGACGGTGCCATCTCCCTAGTTTGTCGAGCCTCCACTTCCTCACCTTACAGGTGGACCAACAGTAGCATTACAGAAAGGAGTGGCCTCAGACTGACTGATTCATTTCTTTTGTATTGGCTCAAGGTATATAAGAAAAGTTGCAGGTGTCAGACACTCCCTGAGGTTCTAGAAAGAAGAGAGGATAAAACAGGTTCTTGCCCTGAGGAGAATCCCAGGCCAATAACGGAAATGGGATATTCACAGGTAGACACGTTTTGGGGTCTGTGCTGGATAGAAGATGACCAGAGAAATGGGCAATGTGGAGAGAGAGAGAGTGAAGGAGATAAAGTGGCATCCTTAAGCTTCTTTTCTTCCTAAGCGGTTGCATTGCTGCCAGTTTTGTAGCGCTTAGGGCGGCGGCTTCTGTCTCTCCCCATTCAGCAGGGCAAGCTTCTCATCTATCTACACCAACAAGTTTAACCGTG